GCCATTTATTTCGGTAACTACGGCGCACTCCACTTTGTTGACGTCACGTTGTGTAGGCAAGCTGGTGAAGAGTGTTGACCTTCCCTTCAGCAGGATTGCACGAATGTTCCATTTCCATGGTATCCTCTACAGCCTCCGAGCCAACTCGCTGGAGGGTTTTGCTTCTATTCCTTCTGCTTTCCTTTTATAATCTCCGTCCTTCAATATGCTCATCACCATCCCTTTGTTGCGTTGTCTTGCTTCGTCTGGATGTCCATTTCTCAGAAACATCAGAGTCAGTTTTTTAAGTTCCTCTTCCAAGCACTTTGAATCGCTGAGTCGTATCCTTCTTACGACCGAGCTCCTGACTGTTCAACTCTTTATTTCGTAAGTATGTTTCGACTGGAAGTTAAGAATTATTCCAACATGCGATTTCTTTTGGAAATGTCGTTTCTTGAGAGTTTCCTCGACATGAATGGCCTTCACATCCAGGAACGATAAGTGCCCGTTCTCTTGCACATCCATTATCAATTTGACTTTTTCATTCATTTCGTTGATGAAGATCAGAAAATTGTGTAATCTTTCATTTTAATGCTACCAAATGGCGAGTAGTCAGTCATGCCAATAGCACATAATTAATGCTGGCTGCTGAGGCGACATTTTTAACTTCTCCTTCAACTTGTTTGTGTGACATGACTCGCCATTTCGAAGGGAAAGTTGGTAGGACGTAATTCGTGCTGTGGTCTCGCCGGAAAGCGAAGCAGGTTTGCCGCGTAAGGAAGACTGTTGAGTTGTTCAAAGTGCTAAGCCTTCGCCGGCTGCTACCCTAACCACCTTTGTCTTGGTCAAGCATGTATTCTTGCTCTGCTGATGTCTGTCACGGTGTTACAGACGAAAGCTTAGCACATGTTCATCGGGGTCGCAGGACGGTGAGCCGAGGACTTCTTCGAACAACTCAACAGTCTTCCTTACGCGGCAATCCTCCTTCGGCTTCCGATAAGACCACATCACGAATTCCTTCCCACCAACTTTCCATTCGAAATGGAGAGTCATGTCGGAGGCTAGCACTAAGAAATCCTTAGAAACCCAATTTTTCTTCATTTCTTTGTAGATATTAGCCAACTGAGGTTAGAGTGGTGAGCCCATAGACAAACCAAATATTTGCTCATTGATGCGACGGTTGAACTTGAAATTGGTACTTCTTATTGTCAGGTTGATTACTCAGGTTAGAGACTTTACGAATTCGCTCCGTCTCCATGGTGCCAGCTTATTTTTCCAAGTTCTTCAGTATTGTCGCAAGTTATTTTGCTCGTGAGATGCTTGTGCACATGAACTGTACATCAGAACTCTCCAAACTGGTGCTCTTTAGTCTTTGGTATAATTTGTTTGAGTTCTTCAATAATATGTCATTCACTTGTTTTACTTTGACGTAGGCAACGTTCGTCAGTCTATATGTTGGTCCGTGTTTTTGTTGACTACTAGTCCCAAAGCTTCTCTTTCTGTCTGTACCCTTGGCAAACAGTATACTGCTGGGGCTCTTGTCTACTTTCGTAGCAGCGAATTCAATGTCCATTTGTTGATCTTTCCTTTACCATTCATTCCAAATAACACATCTTGCAGTTTCTTATGTCTATTCTTTCCTGTCCATCACCACTTTTGCATCTCCTTTGTCGACGTACAGGATTATTTGTTCGTTTCTTCTCAATTCTTTATATATCCTGGTTAGTATGCTCCCAATTATGGGTTCCTGATGCTTCTAGAATGTTTGCTTCTTTTAGCATCTTCTCAGAGGTATTTATCACCTCCACTAAAATGTCCTTGATTGCCTTCCTTTCATTCCGAAGTTCAAAATTGAGTTCCTTCTAGGGCAGCTCTTTGGCTGCCAGATCAAGAAGAATGAAACACTGATTTACTTCTTTATCCAAAATTTTTGTCTTGACTGTGAGATCCTTCATCCATTAGCCATCTTCATTTTTTCCTGATGGTGGACCTTGGACTGCCTATTCACCAATTATTTGTTAAGATTCATCTTGTGCCTTTTTTTTATTAAATCAGATCTTCTTTTCGACATTTTGTCTGTGATTTTCTGTGGTTGCAGAAAATCCCCTGGTGTGATAAGCTGACTAATATCCTACCTGAGTCTAGATTTAATATATAAAAACGTAAGTAATTTTCCTCTCTCCCTATTATATGTCTTCTATAATTTTGACAAAGAAGCCCATGCAAAAAGTGCGTCTCAACCAATCCCTCATTTAGTAAGTTCATGCCTTGTTTATATCGAAGTGATATTTCCGCATCAAATAGCAAATACTAGGAAGGATGCCAAAACATTTACATCATTTAAGAAATGTCAAATGACAATGTTGCATTTGCTGTAGCAATCGACTAGAATACTCATTTTTTGTTTATAAGTAGATCATGTGAATGAAATGTATTCGCCTAGTTTCGTTTCTGACTTTTGAACCAATGGCATCTGTGGCTGTTTAGCAAAGGAATATTGTCTCGTCAGGATGTTCACGACCCAGATTCGAATTCCTTTGCTGGTGCTGAAAAGGTGAGGATGAACTTGGTGCATGGTATACTCATTTTATTGTGAAAAAATGCCACTGTCAGTCATTGAATTCACGTTAAGCGACCTAAACGGACTTTTGAAATCAAGCCAATTCAATTTAGATGAAAATTTTTGTTAATCCGTGATCGAATGTCCGACATCAACCGTTATGCACTACTGATTTTTATAGTAAGTAATACGCTTATGGCACCAGGGGAATCTCGACGTCAATCAGGCTCCAGAGTACCATCCCTTTTTCGTTGGAACTATCCCTCTATCGCCTTCATAGGGCCGTAGAAAGTCAAAAGTAGTGTCCTTTTGAGCAGAATATAAACGAAAAGTTGAAAGCGCGCAATGCTGTCTTGCCGGATTTTCTGTCCAAGGAGTCTTATGTAGCTGTTGAAAGGTATTAGAGAGACAAGAGAATTGTAAGCTCGGGGCACCGATGGCTTACCAACACAGTTGCTCTATAAGACGAGCACACTAATTAAAATATTAGCATTATCAGACCAATCTTTATCCCTTAAACCAGTATTTCCCAAAATTTTCCTAGTCGCGGTGCCCCTTTCTAATTAATATTTCGTAAGTAAAAGATAAATAAAAATAAAACTCGTGTATCTTCCTTAACTTTTTATATACTTTATTAACATTAAATTAATATTTAATAATTAATGTGATGGATGAGCCTGCAAATCACGTCACATTTTCTCAAATTGAAGCTTTTACAATATTTCGCGGCGCCCCTGTAAAGAGGCCACGGCTCGCCGGGGCTTCGCGGCGCATAATTTGGGAATCACAGCCTTAAACACAAAATAAAACCATATAGACTGTCATAATTGCTGTCTAAAACATCGAGCAATCACGTCTCATTTTATCGTCTGTCAATTTCTTTGATGACTACAACCCTGGCTCTTATTTGCACACACATTACACGCTACTCGTAGGCACACGCATGCACGAAACCACCTACTCATGAATAAAAATTTCCAACTTAAGAGGAGACACTCTTCAAACCGATTTGGTGTCCAGAATGAGGGCTTCTTCGAAGTTCCATCTAATAGCAGGAACAGTATCATCAAAGACGAAGGATGGTGTAATGTTACTGTAAAGATGTCACAGAAGCATTGTTCCAACGAATGCCTAAGAGTGCCTGTACTTTCGAGCTGAAAAATCTAACAGAGAAAGTCTTAAGAGGAAATTTTTGAAAGATAAAAAATATTTTATTATCCTGAGATGCTCTTCCAGAATAGATCCATTTGATGGTATTTTATTAGTATGAACAGCTTTTAGTGTAGAAAAAATCTTCTTAAACATCTTACATCGTATCCAAGATTCAATTGTTTACATTTTCAAATTAATTATTTCTTCAGCGAATTAAAGCGATATTTCCATTAAAAGTGTCAGCAGTCGTTTCAATTTTTAGATAAACGACCTTTATTAATAGACTTCGAAATATGTAAGAATAAGAAATAATGATACAATATGCATTTAATGACTTGTTTTAGCAAGTCGTGAGGTATCAAAATCCGTAATGAAGGTTCAAATGAACTGATTTCATGTTTTGTCCAAAATTTTGTCAATTATTTGTATAATGATCAAGACAAACCATAAATGCATGGTATATAAACTACTACTATAAATTATGTATCAGTAGTATAAATAAAAAACATAATCTTTTGGTTACTCCGCTATTGCTCCTATTTACTTTGAGTGTCAAAGCAATCTTATACGAAGGACTCTCTTGTTTCATAATTGTTGAGCTTACTTCCATTTCAAGTAAAAGTGTTGAGTGAAGAGATTCGAAGGTCGGTTCCACCA